ATATTACAAAATTTCTTCCTTCCAAAATTTCATGATTTTCACTTCACCTCGTGGGATCAAATTAATATCACGCACGTATCGTAAAAAATACACGCAGTCTCTAGCGTGAGACGTAGTAAACAGGTTAAAAAGAGCTTTTACGATAAGAATAATTGTGAAAAGATAATCATATTTTAGTAGGATCTAGAATAAGGACGAACGATTACGTTCTCTTTTAACGATTTACGCGTGCAATCGTCGCGTCGTATAACTCTCCGCTATTCATAGATCAGTTAGAGGCTTGTTTTATTCTATTAATACGAGATAATACAGCGACTTCTTTGACACGAGCTTTCAGCGTAATGAAACGACGTGTAACCGGTCAGTGTGGGAAACCACGCCTCCACGATTAATCTAATAAAACCTTTACGCAACGCGAATCGGTGCCGTTATCTTCCAACGAATTGTTACGTCGTATCACTTTCAACCGTATCATCGACTTCAATGAAAAAAACCTACATCGCGCGACAACTACACGTTCCATCGTCTCATATAAACTTTGTTTTTCCTTCTGATTAAACAAGCTACCTCGATCGTACTCAATTATCAAACGCGTTATCTTATTTTATGCTACGTTTATTACTCGAAAATTCTCTCCACGGTACGCAATGGAAAATTTATACCGCGTTGAAAATTACTATGAATGCCTCGCGCCGCTCTCCGTCTTGAAGTTTTTTGATTCAAGTATCGATTAACGAAGTCTAGTTAACGAGAATAAAATGCTTCGAGCGAATAAGTTACTCTAACGGATTAATGTCAATGCAATGAAGCGTGGTAAAAAAAACTCACCTCTAATTTTGACGAATACTCCTCGACGAGGATCTCACTCTGCCTGGTTAATTCCTGATTCCTCTCCAAAAGCGCCTTCCCCAATTCTGCCGCTAAAACAAGGTCCCTGTCGCGTTTCTTAAGAAGCTCCACCGGATCCTCGAGGTCCTCCTGGTCGAGGGAATTTCGTCGCGCTTGGAGATCGGATATCATGTCCTCCAGAGCGTACGGCTCTGGATGGCCGTCCTTTTTCGGCAGCATCGTGCTCGCGAGTCGTTATATACTCGCCAAGTGTCACGTGGCCGGAGTAACGCGTGACCTTTTTTTATCGCCGTTCGTAATAATAACACACGCAAAACCAGGTGGTCGGTCGCCCACACGTTCAAGTCATTTGTAACATTCGGAATGGCGGGCACATACGCCAGTCAACAATCGAACAAAAAGTAGCGTAGATTGAATGTCACGTAGGAGCTGAAACTTGTGTGGATAGCGAACGACATTGATAAGCGAATACATATCTAAGATCTTATTCGAGAAGTAACTATTCGCTGAAGGCTGTTCGATGTTCGTTTTTCATCGAATCGTTGCACAGGGTATCCAAATGATGAGAAATGTTGACAACCATGGTAGCTTATCTTCGGCTGGGAAAAATATTCGAATGTGCGTTGCACCTTTCTCAACATTCATTTCGAGATACACGATTGTGTAACGAGAGCAGCGACAACTGTACGTGAGTCATAGCTTCGATTATTGTAAATAAATTGCACGACGTGCGGCGATAGTATAGAACGTAGTGTAGAGGTTCACTTTTTCTCTCTCGTGTACGTTACATCGAAACAGGTTTTCTCGCCGATCGGTAAAGTCTTCCCCGATCAGCTGTGATCACACTCACCAACGTTATAATTTGACGAGTAATATTACGTTTGAACGCTTCCGTCAATCGTAGGCAACACACACGACTCGACACACGTGTACTCGCTTCTGAGTACTCACAACGCAGTCTGAAAACGAAAGATACGCAAGATACGCCGCGAGTTGTACGTTGTACGTTGACTGCGATCGACATTCGACTGATCGTTTGTCGATCAATTGTCAATGCAACATCTCGCACGCGTGAAAAAAAAAAAAAAAAAAAAAAAA